ACAAACTTAACTTCATTATCATGCAAGTTTTTACCAAAAAAGTAGAAACATATTTACCAGACTTTTAAGGGCTTCAAAACTTCATTATGAATTGTCAACTACAATAACCCAAAAACTTGCCTTTGATTTTGCAATTACTTTTTCTAAGCGCATTCCTAAATTTTGGAAAAGTCCACAACTCACTGGGAAACAGTAGCTTTGTGTTTTTATGTTACGTAGGAAAGAGTTATCTTTACGAAATCCAGAAGCTACTAGCAACTGCTTTTAATTTTTATAGAGTTGGAGAATTTTTCTCCAATCAAAAATATTTACATCTGCGACACAAGTTTCAGCCACAAAACATTTATCGGGTCGACGACACGGGTTTCAAATTGTGCGTGTGTATGTGTGTGTGAGAGGGGGGGGGGACAATCGCCAATTTCTAAAAAAAGTTCTCTATAACTTCTGATTGAATGAAACTTTTACACAAAGATTTTGATAAAAAGCAAAAAAAAAAAAAAAAATGGTTGACACCATAAAATTAAAAGTACCCAATAAAGTAGAGTTTAGCTTGACTGTCGATGAGGTTACTACTTTAAGAGGACAAAGATATTTTGGAGTTAATATTCATAATAAAACTGACAATATCACGTATAAAACAGGATTAATTCAAATTTTGGGTTCATGCAGTGCGCTTAATATGGTTGAAATAATGAAACAACATCTAAAGGTGGGAAATCTAAAGGTGGAATATCGATAGAAAAAGATATGGTTGCTTCTACTTAAGATAGAGCATCTGTAAAAAAGAAGTATATTCGAAATTTAGATGTTATTGGTCAGTTTTGTCTTAATCATGGTATACATCTTGGAGTATGTGACACACTTTATACGAAAAAGCATGATATTGAAGATTTAAGCGACCCCTGTGATGACGATAACAATGAAAATGATTCTTTTGACAAAGGCACCAATTTTGAATTCATAAATGATGATTAAGAAAATTATATTGACTACAATAAATTACTTAAAAACTCACGAAAACTGATGAAATAGATCAAACTATCAAGTATTCGAAATCAAGTTTTTCAATCAAAAGTCAAGGATCTACTTGGAAAAGCAATGCTCGAGCAATTGATCATGACAGAGACGGCAATTCGAGAAACTTTATTAGAATTTAATGCATATATAAGTTTAGCCAATAATGTAGACTTTGATGCCTTGAATGGTTTACTAGAGGCAATGAAACCCATTAAACTTGCTATAGAGAATCGTAGTTGAAATGATGCAACTCTGTTGTTGAGCGCTGACACGATTTTAGAATTTATGTTTGAGAAACTTTCTTTAATTAACAGTGAAATTAGCAAAAAATTGATGGATAATTTGAGAATTAGAGTCGATGAACGCATGAATACAGATGTCATGAATTTATTACGCTGTCTAAAATGCTCTACAATAATCCCATTCAGAGATACGATAACTTTTGCAGGAATGTTGGCATCTCGAATTTTTGGTGTTCATGACATTAATATTATTAAAACAACTTCCAGTAATCCATTAGATAAATTTTTATCAGACTAATAACAACTTTTAATCATGTTGCAGTCTTTTTTATTATAAAAAGAACTAAAATAAATTGTTGTTATTAAGCTACTAAGATAAGCGTAAAGGTCAGTTTACCTCGAAGGATAAAAGAAAATTTTTTTAACACTTTTACCTCATTTGATACTATTATAAAAAAAATCTAGGTTATTGTTTTTTACGCGTCTGGAATCAGTTTATTAGAAAATCAAAAACGTTTTTTATATGCCACCGAGTAATAAAAAAGGTTTTTGTGAAGGAAAATTTTGATTTTTCACCAAGAAATTTCAGAAGATTCTGTAGACTACACCTTTTCAAGATGTAAATGAGAACATGAAAGTTGTAATTAAGAAGTCGTAATATGTAATTAAGAAACACAACATGTAATTGAGAAAACGTTATATGTAATTGAGAAACACAACATGTAAATAAGAAGTCGTAACATGTAATTAAAAAACACAACATGTAATTGAGAAAACGTAAGATATAATTGAGAAATCATAATATGTAATTGAGAAATCGTAACTTGTAATTGAGAACACATAAATTAAAATAGCAAGTTCACAGTCTAAAATAGCAAATTCACAGTCACAGCGCGTGGTCATCCTTCCATACAAATCCCGCCATGGCCCTCGGATTACATACCGCATATTTATTGTTTTTAGTGTTTATTACGTTAAATTCATTTGCCCAAAAATTATAAATTTTTCCCTAAAAAATTAAATTTACGCTACAAATCTTGCGTCATTTTTAAGTGCGTCATTTTATACGCTCCATTTTTTTACGCGCCATTTTTTTTAAGCGCCATTTCACACTTACTCCTTTAAAGCGATATCTAAATTAAAATTTTCGTGTTCTCAATTACATCTTTCTATTTCTTAATTACAACTTACATTTTCTCAATTACATGTTACGATTCTTAATTACAATTTTCGTTTTCTAAATTACATCTTATGTTTCTTAATTATAACTTACGTTTTCTCAATTACATCTTACGTTTCTTAATTACAACTTTTGTTTTCTCAATTACATCTTACGATTCTTAATTACAACTTTTGTTTTAATTAAGAATCGTAACATTTTTGGTCCAAAATTGAACTGGCGGGGAGCCTAAAAATTAATTATTTTTTTTTGCTCAAACTTATACTCATAAAAATTGTCAATTTATAAATTGATTCGCGAGTTTGATTTTAAAAATTGATAAAATATGAAACACCCTAATGCATATTTTAAGCTTTTTAAAATTATTTTTGCATTAGTAAAAGATAGCGGCAAACCTAAAATTGAAGAAAATTTGGAATTTTTAATGAAGTTCAGCTTTGGACACTATAAAAACAAAGTAGTCCTAATAACTCGCGCAAACGATTTATTTTTTAAACAAAAGAATTGAGCTAGATTATGGGTTCTACAGGGTTTTACGTCAGCCATACCCTAAAAAAAACAACATGTGGATAAAATGGACCAAAGACTATACATTACCACCAAAAAATGTTTCATTTTCTTTTTTAATTTTTGTCAAATGTCCAGTTTTGGAGCAATTCTGTACGGCGGTTTACAAGTACATTTCAGATCTTACATACACCATGTTTTTTTTACAATTATCTTTATTCCATTTTTATAATTCATATTTTAATTCATGAAGCTTTTCAAGAGACATTTTTTATTCTTTATCTACTCGATAGTTTGTTTTACCTCCAAGAATTTCGCGCATGATAACTAAAAATATTGAGCATGTCAATTATCCAATAAAGATAATTTTTTAATAATAAAAGTTACCTATTTTACTAAGATGGAACTCTTTTATAGGAATAATATGCATGTTTAAGTGATAAAGGTTGTTGTTTAACATCTTCTTAAACCCCCTGGATTTGAGGGCTGGTTAAGGCCATTGAAAATCCACAGTCCACTGTTATAGTGGGCTACGCATTTTTACACAAAGTTATAGCAATTTATTTTGACCACATTTTGCATCGACAAATCCACGTTTTAAAAATTTGCTACTAAAAACCACATTTGCGGGAGGCTGCATAGGCGTCGCACATATGCCAGTTCGCACATATTTGCATATGTGCGAACTGGCATATGTGCGAAGCGTTGCAAAAACTAGTATAAGTGCAAACTGGGCATAATTACAAACTGGCATAACTGCGAATTGGCATAAGTGCGTCGAATGAATTTGCAATTACTTGCATAAGTGCAAATTGGAATAAGTGCAAATTGGAATAAGTGCGAACTGGCATAAGTGCGAATTGGCATAAGTGCGAATTGGCATAAGTGCGCCGAATAAAATTTCAAATATTGGCATAAGCGCAAATTAGTATTTCGCACTTATGCCAGTTCGAACTTATGCCAAAGTTTGCAAAATGTTTTGGCGCACTTAAGCCAATTCGCACATATGCCAGTTCGCACTTATACCAGTTCGCACATATGCCATTCGCACTCATGAAATTCGCGCTCATTCAGTCGTCCCATTTTTTGTAGATTTGTTTGATTTTAATAAAGTTTTAATTTAAAATGTTTATGTTAAGTATATATAATACACAACAAATTAATTTAAAGGATCTTACTGACATTCAAATTTCCAGAACCGTTTTTATTTATTTCAATAACCTTTTTCAAATATTTAAATAATTATAAAATTGGTAGAAATCCAAAAAACAAAAACAACTTTCAAATTTTTGTTTTTTTAAAAGCACGGGTTTTTGAATTTTTCCCGCACTCATTGAAATAACCATTTCTGAGATAAATACATTTTTCCAGCGTCGGCAATTTTCCAGATCTGACACCATTTGATGTGTGCGTTTGATCGCTACCCTATTAAAATGGCCATTAGGTTTTGTGATACAATTAACCAACATCCAAATTATAGTACAATAATTAAAGTATATAGTAACTCATTAATTAAGAATCTTACATTCCTTTTAAAAGTACTATTATGCATACTTACTATACATTTGTATTATATGTTTTGAATTACACGTGGTGTTTACACCATAACTTGTAAGAATTTACAATAATACTTTAAGTTAAGCACAAATATATAGTTTCCGTAAAAATAATAATATTAGAATATAAGATTTTTTAGAAGTAAGAATTTAAGGCTTTTTTTTACTTTGTGCAAAAGTGATAACATACTACTACAATAAGGATTTATCATATTAATGTTAAACTTTAATGTATAAATTTTAAAATAAGTTTTAAACTTTATAATGTTAGTGTCATTTATCGTGTTTTTTGTTAAATTTTGTGATATCGGTTTCAAAAAAAGTTAATTAAAAATATTAAAAAAAACAGTTTTGGTAATTTTTTAATCACTTAGTGTTATTATATTTATGATATTATTTATCATTAATTTACTTTTTTTATAGGTAAAAAATAATCTATTTAGCAATTGTTATTTTATTATGTTTTGTTGTTATATTATTTAAAAAAATTAACTATAAATTCCTGTTATATCTTGTTAGTATATGTTGTAGCTAAAAAGGTAAAAGCACTAAAATGCCAGGTGATAAGTTGCCGTCAGATGAGAATATCACGATGTTGTTAGGAATGGGCTTTTCTGACGTTGAAACAGTTAAAAAAGCTTTGACTCTAGCAAAAAATGATGTTAATGAAGCAGTTGCTATATTAACTGGAGAAGTTAGTAAAGGTATGTCCATATATTTTTATAGTGACAGATAAATTACTGTTACCAAAGTTTTAATAGTTCCATTAAGTATATTATGATTGTATATAAAATAGTTTAATTTAGGTCAAATCTACAATTAAACAATTAAACATTAAACAATTTGTGTTCAACCTGGTAAAATCTGGTTGCTACATATGTACTACAGTCATCTCTTTATCCATTAAATTCCAACTTATTATGAGATTAAATAATATGCCTTAGTCCCTTCAAACGCTATGCAGTTTCTCCCTGCCCCCCAATTTTTTAATTGCTGATTATGATAGAGAATTTTATGCTGATTAAGAATTGTGTAAAAACATAGGTCTGAAAATAACAGAAAGTGCTCTAATTTGATGTTAAAGTTTAAAAATTACACTTAAAAGCGCTAATATTGGCAATTTTTTTCATACTTGATTATAATTAAAATCCTTTTCAAAGATGAGTTTAAAAAAACCTGGTTTCTATCCACAATTTAAAGCAAAACTGTTAAAAAATGCTGAGCGCATCATTTTCTTATATATCTCTGGCCCAAACCCTAACCCTGTCCCAAATCATGTACATTTAATTGCGCCAATCCCTATTTGTCAGTCGATGTTTGTGCATTTTGTTGTGCCAATCCCTATTTGTCAGTCGATGTATGTGCATTTGAAAAGAAATATTTTAAATTATTTTTAAAAAATTAATTTAAAATATATAAAATAAATTCATAAAAAAATTTAATTTAATTATAATTTTGTTGACAATAAAAAACAATTCCTATTTGTCAGTTGATGCATGTACATTCAATTGTGCCAATCCCTATTTTCCAGTCGATGCATGTACATTTAATTGCGCCAATCCCTATTTGTCAGTCGATTTATGTACATTTAAAAAGTAATATCTTAAATTATTTTTAAAAAATTAATTTAAAATATATAAAATAAATTCATAAAAACATTTAATTTAATTAAATTATAATTTTGTTGACAATAAAAACTGGGTTGCGTAATCAAAAAAATATTTTCTAAACGATTTTGTTATCATAGTTATAGAATTTTAGTTATCATAACTTACTGATTTTTTCAAATTGTTTTAATATATTTACATCTTTTCTTTGTCTTGTTAAGATATTTTTATAAGGGACATAGCTCTTCTCTGTTATAGATTTCTTATTCAAAACCTGTTTAAAACTACTTGAATTTCACTTTTAAAACAAATGGTTTCAACTGTTAGACTAGCTATTTTAATTATTCATTCAATTTTCTAAGATTTCTAACAATAGAAAGACATAAGGTCGGGTGAATAAAAAAAAGCAAACGCTTTTCATCAGTAATTAGTCAGCTTACATGAAACTTCAGCAATTTTCTTTAAATTTTTATTCATGCAAAGCTGAACAATTACTCAGCGTTTTTGGAGTAAATTGCTTAGCTTTACGTGAATAAAAATTTGAGCTAGTTTCTTAAAATTTGTATTCACATAAAGCAGAACAATTACTCCAAAAACATTGAGTATTAGCAATTGCTTATTTTTACTCCCCAAGCCTATAATCATAAAACCATTGTAGAACAGAATCTAATATTATTTAAAACATGGCATAGATTTGGAAAATAGTTATGTGAAATATTTTAACATTATTTTGTATGATCAGGCTTGGTCGGGAAGCGGGTGCGATCGCACTCGATAATTGACCACAGAAATAATATTTAGTTGCGAAAAACCAGCTAGATTTTTTAGTCGTTGAGAACATTTCAAAAACAAATAAAAAAGCGCAATAAGAATAACTGGACCGATGAGAGACAGTTAAAAAAAGAAAAATAGCTTTTAATGTGAAAAAACTTTAAGCAAAATAAATTTATTAGAGCAATTATTTTTGAAACGTCGCTCTTTTATAATTTTTTAAATTATAAAAAATTAAGCGACACTTTTTATATAAAGTAACAATATAAAAAAACAAGTATTCTCCGATTTATCAAAGAGTATATATAATTTTTATTTATATACTTATGTCTTATTTCCAGTTGCAGATTGAGGAGGTAGGGTGGGGGTAGTAGGGCTATAGCCCCGGGACTCACAATGTTAGGGGAAATAGTCAAGAGAACCATTCAGTGTTTTTTTTAGTCACTTTTACGCTGTGGCACATAAAAAAGATCGCCAAAATAATGCAGCCCCCGGCCCTGAAAAGTCCAACAAGATTCAACCAGTAAAACTAACGCTAGATGATTTATTTATAAATAAAAAAGTTTTTTCAATAGCTGTTTTATGCTTCGCGTAGTTTAAAAAGTTTAATACATTTGAAACAATTCTTCTTAGTAAGATGAACAAATGAAATAATAAAATCATTGAGTTACTGTAGAAATTCAATTAGCTAGATAGAAATTAACTAAAAACGTTAAATTACTTTGCGAGGAGGAAGCGGAACTGCTTCACAATAATGCTGATGATGTTTAGTGAGTGGGCTTTATAATTTTAATTAGTATTTAAAACAGAAAAAAGTAACTAAGTATAACGAGTTTGTAAGAATGGCTGAAGCAAAAATAATTGAAGTTAGTAAACCAATTTCTAAGAACTTAAAAACTTTTCTTTCTTGGGAGAAAGAATCAGTTATCGGGTACACTGACAAAAATGGATTAGTGGTTAAAATTATTTGTATTAACTTTGACGATTATTAATGATTTCATTGACAACGCAATTATTATTAAAAGTATTTTTGTTTACAAAATCAATTGCACAAATTGAATAAAATAGATTACATTTGAATAAAATAGACATACATAAAATTACATAGATAAAAATACATTACATACATAAAAATACATTATATACATAAAAATACATTTCATACATAAAAAATACATCCCTTATATATATAAAATAAGAAGATACTAATAAAATCTATAATATATTTACAAAACGTTTTTTATTGATTTAAAACATTTATTATTGTAAACAAATAAAGTTAGTTTAAAACATTTATAGCTTTGTAGATATGGCTCTAAGAATTAAAATAATAGTTTGTTTGATAGTATATTCTTATAATAATATATGCTAGAAATCTCACGAAAACGTAACAAAATTCAAATAATACAATTTTTTAAAATATTTCAACAGAATACTCAGGACATTCGGTTAGTATTTTTTGAATACTCTAGAAATTTCGGTTAGTATTTTTTAAACAAATACAATTAGTTGTTCGTAGATTTGGCGGGTTTTTTGTGTTCGCGAATATTATTTTTTTATTTTTCCGCACTAAGATGTTTGAGAACATTTAAGTTTATGTATGATTCCATGTAAGTCCGTAAAACAAAAGATTTTAAAATTTACGATAAAATGAACTTATTATTTTGCGGACAAACAAGGAAGCATACATAAACTTAAATGTTCTCAAAATGGCTAAAAAATCTGACTAGTTTTTTGCAACTCAATATTATTTCTGTGGTCAGTTATTGAGTGCGATCGCACCCACTTCCTGACCAAGCCTGTATGATCATAGTTGTTTAGATGAAATAGCCAGATTTGCAGAGAGTAAAAAATAAGCACACATTGGGTATGAAATATAAAGCATTAATTTGAGGGTAAAGTAAAAGCTAATTCTTCATTATTTGTAATAGTAATAGTTTATTTTTTCCTTTTTTAAACATTTTCCAAAAAACTTATAACACAAAAGGCAAGCAATATAGCGGTGGTAAACACAGTAAATTTTAGTTGACTGCAATCATAGCTGTATGTGCTGCTAAAAAGAAATTAGAAATATTTGTAATGCAGTCTTAGTCAAAAGTTATTCCTGACCACATATGATATTTACGTTGAGGTAATGGCTAACACAGGTAATGGCTAAATCTGTAAAATCTAAATGAGTTTTTAGTTTGAAGTAATTTTTTGTTGTAAAGTTTTTTTCTTACTTTTCTGTTTATATTTGCGTTTAAATTTAAAATAAAATTTTTTGAGGTATTTAGGAAAGCTATTCAAAAAAATAATTTCATGGGATTACTGCAGTGACTGTACAAATGGAAAAGAACATAAAGTTATTAGAATGAAAAGTATTCTTTCTTAATTTGAGGCATGCATATATTAACCAAGTCTTCTGCTTCTTTTTGTTTTCTATAGCAAATATATAAGGCAAGCAAAAAGTTGTTATAATTGCCAAAAAACGTCAATCAAACTCTTTGTTGGGCTGTTGATTTTGTTGTATATAAGCATACAGACACAATGTGGTAAATATGGTCATAAATATTATTTTTCTGCATTAATTTTGTTGCAATTGTTCGAAGTTTGAAAAATTTTGAAAAATAATTAAGAAAAATGTTAGCTTCTATAACACATTCAAATAGGATGTGACCAGAGCCCCGGCCCCAGCTAAAAATGAAACTTTTTGCAAACCCAGCCCTTGCCCTGGCAAATCAATAAGATTTAGAAAGAGTTGTTAGCCAGGGCTAAAAAAAATTTATAATACTTTATATTTTATAGTTTTATACTTACACTTTTATTATATATTTTATTAGATATTAGATATTTTTATTAGATAATGGGATATATTTGTATATTTTATAAGTCTTTTCTTTTAACCCAGAAAAGGGTTATTATATAACCCTTTATATTATATCAATTATATAACCCTTTTCTGATCCATGCATGCATAATAAACGTTGTAAAATTCTATTTGTAAATCATGAAAATCATATCCATGCGTGGATCAGAAAGATCTATTCATTTAAAAAAATCTTAAATTACTTTAAACAAGTTTTTGATATAAAAGCTTTTCCCCACAAGTTTTCTTATTTACAATAGAATTAGGTAAACTTGTAGGGAATAAATAACTCGCAATAACTCGAACCCTAAAAACTTATACTTCCAGTAACTAAAAGTATTTTCAAATTCTTGTCAAACTCAATTTTTCTTAAAAAGCAAAACCATTCTCTTTTTCCTTTAGAGTTTTGAATTATTGTGAGTTGGCTGTATACTTATATACTTGGGTAACATATAATTAGAATTTCCAGGTGTGAGGT